GGGAAATTAATTTCTTTGATATGAAAATTAATACTTTTTAGTTGAGTTGGAATTATAATTTTTGTAAGAAGATATATTATTATGTTTAAAGGAATTACAAAAGTTATTCACTTGAATTCTCTAGTGCAAGCTTAAGTCTCCTTTAAGTTTTCTCCATCAAGGAACGACTACCCTATGTTTGAATAGCAGTATAGCATCATAGATGAGGGGGCCAGCTATGACATTGAATAGTCCTGGCTTTCCTTTTACTACCTGCATGAATTTGAGCAAGTTCCTTAATTTCTCTGTATTTCAGTTTTCTCATCTATAAATTTAGGATACATAAAGCACCTGGAATAGTGTCCAGCATATACTGGATGCTCAGTAACAGGTAGCTCTTATCGTTATTACATTCTTATATTATTGCCTACATCTTCAGGGGAAGTTCATTTCTATCTAGAAGGATCAGAGGTTATCTATTTTGTTTTGGTTCGCTTTTTTTTTTTTTATGGTAATGATAGGAGTTCATTTCTGGTGATAGCAGAGTGGCTTTTATTGAACTACCATTTGCCAATAACAATTTTGAACTCTGGACCAAAAAACAATGCAAACAATCATAAAATCAGAATTAAAACAATTATTTGAATGACAATCATTTATTTTATTTTTAGTCATCCCTGGGGAATAACTAAAAATAGGCAGAAACCGGAGGAATGGTAATTCTTGAAATATGGAAACAAACTAGGTGAGGTCCACATTTAAACAGCCTTTTCTCTGAGGACACACCTCATCTTGCAAAACACATAAGGGACAGAGAGCAATCAGGGAGAGGCTGAATGACTGGACTGAGGATTCAGAAGTCAGAGTGCAGGTCTGCCAGAGTGGTTAGAAATTAAGGAGGGAGGTTTCAACAAGGAGGGAAACATCGTCGGGAGCCCTAAAATCTGTGCACAAATTCTCCTAGAACTGTTGGCTGACTACCAAACTATATATGCACATGATGAAACTCCAGAGAATGCAATGGAAAGTCATAGCTGAAAGGCTAAAATAACAGCCTCAGAGATTTCAACAGATGCGTGGTACTGGAGAGACAAATTTTGGAATTCAAGTTCAGTCAAGAAAAAGGACTTAATAAATTCTTTGTACTTTTCATTAAAACTCTAGGAGGGTAATACCTTAACAATAAGCATTTTAGAACCAAGGACTACAAATGAGGCCTACCAGCGAAGCACAAATAAGCACACCCATCAAATCTCCATAAGATAAAAGTGGTTGTCAGTAATTTATGTTACAACAGAACTCAACAATTTTGCCCACAATGTATAGTAAATAATTAAAAATTACTTTATATACAAAGAAGCAGGAAAATATCATCCACAGTCTAGGGAAAAAACAGTCGACAGATTTCCAGAAGTCCCAGATGTTAGAATTAGCAGATCAAGACTTTAAAATAACTATAATATACATGTAAAATAATCTATTGAAAAAGATTTCCATAATGAATAAAGAGATGGGGAGTATCAGGATAAATATGGAAATACAAAAAGAACCAAATGAAAATCCTGAAACTAGAAAAATATACCTGAAATTTAAAAATTTATTGAATGGACCTAGCAAATTAGGTGTCACAGAATAAAACAATAAACTTGTGGACAGATCATTAGAAATTATTTAACTACTGATCTTAGCACTGAGGAAAAAATGATTTTCAAATGATTAAGCACTGAGAAAAAAACGATTTTCAAAAGTTTCAGAGCTATGGTGGCCTATGTGACAATCTCATGTTTCAAAATGTGTGAAATTGAAGTCTAAGATAGGAAGGAAAGATGGGAAAGAGTCCCAAATAGGAAGGAATTGATGTCCTAGATAGGAAGGAAAGAGTCTTTTGAAAAAAAGGATAGCCAAAGTTTTTTTCAAATTTGATTTAAAATATTAACCACCTTTAGATTTAGGAAGTTCAGTGAACTCCAAGCAAGATAAATAAAAAGAAAACCACACCCAAGCAAATAATAGTCACAGTTCTGAAAACCAAAAATAGGAAAAACATCTTAAAATGAACCAGAATAAAAAACACAAAGTCCTAAGGAAGGGGACAGTAAGAACAAAGGCTGACTTCTCATCAGAAACATTGGAGACCAAGTGATAATGGGTTGGTTTCTTAAAAGTGCTGAAAAAAAAAAAAAAGTTAGCCTATCTAGATGACCTACATTAGACTTACATTTAACCATATTATTAATTATATTAAGTGTAAGTGGACCAAAACTTTCATTTAAAAGCAGAGATTGTTCTTTTAACTAAAATACACCAACAGATTGAAAATAGAAGAATGGAGAAGTGGAGACCATATAAACACTGAACATAAGAAAGCTGGTGTCACTATATCATCGTTAAGGTATATTTCAAATATGGATACTGTCAGAGGTGAAATAAAATATTTTATAATGATGAAAGCATCACTTCTTTAAGATGACATAGTTCTAAATGTGTTTGCCTTTAATGATAAAAGATTTTATTTTCTAAACATCTGGTACAGTAATTCCCTTTAAGGATAGAAGTGCCTTGATTAGAAAGGTGTTTTGATAAGTCTATTGGAGTAAGTGGTCTCTATAAGCCATTGATGTGGGCTAGCTTTGATGCTTCAGAAGAGCAGGTAAAATTACTTGAGATAGGAGATAGGGTCACAGATATTCACAGTTTTTCCAGAACTGAGATAGACTTCCAGTGCAAAATCTGGGACTATCCCCAAACTGAGACCCTCCAGGTAAACTTGAATGGCTGCTTATCCTACAGAGAGGAATTTAGAAATAAAAGGGAAAGAGAAGAAAAGAATGGATAGTTATCAGATGGCAGAAGGTTGTACAGTGAATGAAGTGACCCATTACAATGATCCCTGAAACATTAAATGACTAAACTCAAAAATTATAATTGTAAAATGTGTTTGTATATTTGAGAAGCTAGTGATGAGGTAGAATGGTTGAAAAGTAGCATGTGTCATGAACGTGGTATTTCTGGAACAAGGACCATGAGAACATAAGTTTTGGGGAATTTGTAGGAATCATGGGAATAGTTTTAGACTCTTGTAGGTAATGAAATGGGAGGTCTGAGTCAAGCTTGGGTATATTAATGGCAAAAAAGAGCTGAGATTATCTCTGGGTCTTCTGACTGTATTAGTTAAGAATCATTTGGTTTTAGATAATAGAAAATCTGCCTTTAACTGGGTCATACACTAAAGGAAATTTATTTGTTCATGTAACTGAAGATTCCAGAGGTAAGGTGGGCTTCTGGCTTGACTCAATCCAGAGGTTCATGATTCACATCTGAGCTCTCACTCATTTCTCTGCAGGTGTCTCAGCAGCTCTCTTCCTTGTGACATTTCATCTTCACTCTGGTTTTCCTACTGGTAGCAGCAGTGGCCAGAGCAGTTCCAAGACACATTCTCACACAATATCATGGGTCTTCAAACTTTTTCTATAAAGGGTGAATTAGTAAATCTTCTAGTTTTGTGTTTCTATTGCAAACAGTCAACTCTGTCATTACAGTGCAAAAGCAAGCCATACACAACAAATAAAAGGCATAGGTGGGTTCCAATAAAACTTTTAAAAATCAATTTGAATTTCTTTTCTTTTTTTTCTTTTTTTCTTTTTTTTTGAGACGGAGTTTCGCTCTTGTTACCCAGGCTGGAGTGCAATGGCGCCATCTCGGCTCACCGCAACCTCCGCCTCCTGGGTTCAGGCAATTCTCCTGCCCCAGCCTCCTGAGTCGCTGGGATTACAGGCACGCGCCACCATGCCCAGCTAATTTTTTGTATTTTTAGTAGAGACGGGGTTTCACCATGTTGACCAGGATGGTCTTGATCTCTTGACCTCGCGATCCACCCGCCTCGGCCTCCCACAGTGCTGGGATTACAGGCTTGAGCCACCGCGCCCGGCCTGAATTTCTTATAATTTTCATGTGTCATGATATATTATTTGCAGATTTCTCCCTACCATAAGAAAAATGAAACTATTCTTATAAGTCTTAGCTCAGGAACTGAACAAAAACCAGGCAGTGGTCCAAATTTAATCTGAGGCTATGATTTGCTGACCCAAGACTTAAAAGATTACCTGACTACAGTGTTAATCAAAAAATTTGCTCCTTCACGGCATATGTTCTCTTTTGTCTTCTCCATACTCTCACTCAAGATAACCCTGTGCAGTACCATTTGTGTTACAAAATCCTGCAGTCTTTACTCAAGATAACCCTGTCCAGTACCATTTGTGTTACAAAATCCTGCAGTCTTTTATCTCCAATGCAGAGTGCTCTCATATCTCCAGATTCCTGCAGCCACCTGCCTACTTAACGTCTCCATTCAGAAGTTTCATAGAATTTTAGACTTAACATGACCAAAATCCTTTAGGGGACTCTGCTTCTTTAAACTGTGTCCAGTTCCAAGCAGCCGGCAGGGGCACATTGACACTCCCATGGAATTGATCTCAATTCCACAGGATGGAATTTCAACATTCTTTACATTTCTAACATGAATACAGTGTGTCGAAAGACCAAATTCCAACAAAGTTAGTTATAGATCTAATTGGCTTTTATTTGCAATTCATGAATCGGGCACAGCCTCCATTCTGCAGAACAGAATGATAGCTCCTACTGGACAATGGCACAGCAGTGGCTTTTGTAAGGTGGGAACAAGGAAACAGAAGAACAGAAAAAGAAAACCTGATTGGTTAATATCAGGTTACTTTTTTGTAAGAGTTAAAGCAGAGGGACTTCCTTATTACACTCACTCAGGTAAACTGGAATCTTCTGTTTTCAGGAAAAACTATTCTGTTTTGGGATCTCTGCTTTTTTAAAGTTTCAGTTCGATGACGTGGCATTCAGCATGAGTGACTCCATTTTGGTTTGGTCAGGTCTGATGGGGACTAGCACAGAGCATGATTTTTGTTTAACAGGTGAGGTGAAATAAAGTATAGACTTCCTGAAGTGAGGAAAATTATATGAAATTTAAAGTATTACTCTTTTTCCTCCTCGAGGGATGATAAAACTGAGAAATAAGAGTGTGACAACAGACTGAGGAATTTTTCAGCAATATCTGTCAGCCTTTGGAAATTTGGTGAGAATTAGTCATGATTCAATGTTTTACTTGCACAGAAGCCTCCGGTTCAAACTTAGATCTTGCCCCGTCTGATTACTTATGATATATACAAATACTCTAAATTTTGCTTTGAGATTTCGCTGTTGCTCAGCCAGCCTCCTGCAGCCTCAAAGGTGTTTTAGCTCCCAGTAGGACAGTTTAACTACTGTCTTCTCTGTGACTTCCAAGTCTATGTAGCTCCTCAGCTTGCTCTCAATTTGTCCAGCTGATCTATTTCTTCATCAAGTTGTTTTAGCTTCCCTACTCTCTCCTGTGTTTTGAAAAGAATAAATTCTCAAGTAAATTAAAACTACCTTCTGATAAAAATGAGCATGCATGTGTATTTAGTCCTTCATTTATTCAGTTGCATTTGTGGGGCTTTGCTCTATAGTAGACACAGTTCCAGGCCCTAAAAAACACAAAGATCCTTAAGCTGTGGCCCAGCCCTTAAGATGCTGATAGTGTATTAAAGGCAACAAAAAAGTAAACTTAAAATTCACAATACAGCAATGCAGATGGATGTTAAAATGAAGCCCCCACAAACTGTTTTAGGAAGACAGGGAAATACTAAGGCTTCACAGAGGAGGTGATGCAGTAACTATAATGGGGCGGGGGGGCGGGGAGAGGGAAGGAAGACAAAAACAAGAATCCCTAGTCCAAGATATTTGTTAGTTGAGCCACAAGATGATTACTTAGGAAGAAATATTGAGAAGATGTATTGGGTAGATGAAATACCTAATGAGACCATAAATGATGAGAATTGCCTCTTATAGCATATCAGAAGATAATTTTTATCAGATAATGAAATTGTTTCCAGTCTTCAGAATGAAAATGAATCCCTTGCTAATGCAGATCATGCTAATAAAGGAAGTAAAAGAGAATCTTTGAATTATACTTGGCTCATGATAGGCAGAAACCAACCTAAATAGCCTAGGGGAAAAAAAGAAAGATAATAAAGTAATCAAAATAATTGCTTAATAGGGAATGTGAAAGATCTGCAATGTTAAATTATAAATGTACATTTTCAAGAAAAATGAGGTGACCTTAAGGAACCCACACTCATGCCAGTTAGAAGCAGTGCTTTTCATTAGTGAAGCTGAGGATTAATTAAATCTGGGGAAATTCTTTGAAATCCACAAGTGTGAGTTACATTAGAATACAATACAGCTGGTATATTGGTATCATAATTAATGACTAGCATAGAATTCTTTATTAAATGCATGTGGAGTAGTTCACATGACAGATGTGAATGAGGAGGACGAAAATGGGTTACTTAAAACCAAAATTTTCTTAGCAGTATCAGCTTTTAAAAGTGTGGGAGTGGAAAAGTTAGTTTATCTGTGTTCCCCTCCCACTCTGATTGCCTAAAGACCCATCCCAAGCATAATGTGGGGCACCGTGCCCCTCACCAACCTCTCCAGGAAGCTGGGAGGGTGAAGGAGGGGAGTGGCTTATCCATTATTTTTCCATTATCTCTGAATGTTTTGCTTCAGCTGGTAGCAGAGAAAGGAGAAAGAGGCTGAAGTTGCAAAGCCTCTAACAGTTCTTATGCTCAAGGGTGAAGGTTTGGACAAAACGGTCATTATTGACGGAGCACCTTAGGTATAAGTAAGTGGAGGCCCTGAGCAAGTGAGAGGTAGGTGGTAGTCTAAATTATTTTATAGGACAAGGTAAAGGGAAATTAATTTATCGGGGAGACCCATGGAAAAGGCCAGTGGAAAAAGGAAGACCCTGGAAGGAAAATAGATGAGAAGCAACAGAGAGGCTTAAAGCCCCCATCCTCTGTTACACAGAGATGCCTTCTGTGAGAAACAGACACATGGCTGGTCCACGTTTAGGGTGAGTCAGGGAAGAGCTAGAGTGAGGAAGGATGATCCATAAACTGAACCAACTGAGAATCACAGAAGCTCTGGGTTAAAGGGGGTATAAGAATGCTGAACCACATTTCAGTCCCAGAGTGTCAGAATTACACAGGGCATGCAGTAGGCAGAAATCAGCCTGCAGAGTCTGGCGGGGAAGGCAGATGACAGTGATCCTGCTGCGTGCTGGATGGAATTGCAGCCAAGTCTACTCCTTAATGATGGGGTCACTCACCTAATATTGCATACTGATACATGGTTTTTAATTTTGGCATGGCTGTTACTTTAGTGTGACGTGCAGATTTTAAGTATGACTTTGGTTATCTGAATAAAGACCATTTAGAGATGCTGTTCTCAGACAAATTTAAAAGATGTCTATAAATTCTAAAAGCAAACACCAAAGTACCTTATCAAAATTATACAACTTCCGAAGATTCTATTCTGAAAATCTTTGCAGAAGACAGGAATAGAAACATATATAATTTTTTAAATGTGTTTTTCAAATGCAATAGGAAGTTCTTTTCTGACAACTAGAATGGAAATTTGCATAGTGATTTCATTTGTTTAAATGTTTTATTTTTCTCGCTATTCTGTTTTCCCTCCCACCTGTTCTGTTACTCCAGCCGCCACCTTTGGACAAGCTCTGTCAAATCTCCCTTCTCTATTGTGGATATTTTCTTGCCAGGTTTCTCATAATGTTTTACAGTCACTTTCAATATATGAACAAGTCTCATTTTGGGAGTTGAGATTTACTTCAAAGTATTATGAGGTCCAGTCCAGTATAAATCAAAATTTCAATCTTATATCCAAATCAAAGATTTTTTTCCCCCTCATTTGTGAGGCCTAGGAGGACACAAGCCACATGAGATAAGGGTAAAAGTCTCACATGACTTATGCCTTTAGAGTGGCTTGTGCCCTCTGAGTGGCCCCCAGATGTGGATCTCTCAGATGCCCTCTCCCTGGTCTCCATCACACTCCTAGGTGCCACCCAACCAATGGTCCTAGGAGAGCCAGGGAGAATCTTTGGGTCCACCTGAAACTGTGCTGGGACATGGCCGTGTCTCCTGATGGAACAGTGCACTTCCAGCTGACCTCCTGTAACCCCTTCTCAGCTTCTACATCCCTGCCCTGTGATAGACCCATAGCCTCTTACTGTGGGGTCCCCTAGCTCCAGAAGGCCGCCCTCTTGAGTGAAATTCCTTCAAGATGCTCAGAGCTGGTGTCCCTTCTGTGGTATCCTATCCCAACAAACACCAAGTGAGCAGGCTTCCCACACCGCTGCCTTCTGTTCTTGCCCTGGGCAGCCTTTCACCTTCAGAACTCTGCAGGCAGGAAGCACACAATCCATGTTCACATACAGCCCCAACCTCAAGATATAAAAATCCTTCTTCCCAGCATCTCTGCCAACACCTGATGGCCCCAGATGAAGCTGACAAGTGACTACAGTCTTTCCCTCTGTACTGTCAGCACTCTGATCTCTACTGTGCTACTCTCTAGAGCCCTCAGTTTTGCAGAGAGAACGCTCTTCTCCATCACCCCCAACCCATGGAGAGAGAAGAGAACAAAAAGCTATAACACTCCACTCCCAACAAATTCCCTTGTTAAATGAACTCTCATTTGCTTGCGTAGGATTTGTGGGGTGGCAGGAATGAGTGAGGTGGGAGGGCTTATATGCCATTTTGGCAAGTCTTGGAAGTGGGTGATGGGAAGCTCTTTTTCTGCATTCTTTAGAGTGGGAAGGGAATAGAATGTGATTAACCACTAGTCTCATCTTTGGGGCTTAGTAAAAATTCTGAGAATAAATTCCATTGCACATCTTTTTATAATCGTATATCTGATAGCCCCTAAAGTTGACTCATTTTAAATACAGAGAATGTTAGGTATAAAACAGTTTGCAGATCACTGTACAGTCTTTAAAGTGTGAGTGGCAGAGATCAGAGATTCTGCCTCTCATCTGTTCAGGTCTCTTTGATGTACCCGTTCTGAGGACCATGAACAAGACAGGTATGGCCCCTGCCTCCTTAGAACTTATACTATCGGGAATGACTGCTAATAAATACACAATTACAATACAGTTTAATAGTGCTTTGATAGAATAATCACAGCACGAACAGGGAGCCCCTAACTTAGGATGAAAGATCAGCATGCATGAGGAATCGCCTTGACTCTTGTGTCAAATACAGATCCTAGTTTGCCACCTCGGGTTCTCTCAGTCTTTACCCTGGACTGTGCTGCCAATGCCAGGGACCTACCACCGAGTGGCCCTAAGAGTGCCAGTCCCTCCCTCTTGGCCTCTGCCACTCAGCTAGAGATTGCAGCTCTTTGTAGTAACCAAGAAATGCACCACTCAGATCTCAGGCTGAGAGGAATGGAAGTGACGTGACCCCAGCTTCTGCATTCCAAAACCCCCACTGTGTGAGTGCTGATGCCTGCTTCCCCAGGCTGCACCCAGCCAGGGACTAAGTGAGGCAGGGATAGCAAAGCAGACCCATATCTGTGAGATGTGGAACCCTTCTATGCGGTGACTTGGGCACTAGGATTTCCCATCAGCCTGGGGAAGCCTAGTGACCCAGGGAACTTCCTTCCCTATTTTTATCGTGGTTTGACATTCCCTGCTTTCTCAAGTTCCTCCCCCCTTCTCCCTTGTGGTTGTTTCACCAAGTAAATGTCTTCAATATGTAATCTGGTATTTTTTTGTTTTTTTGAGATGGGGTCTTGCTCTGTCACCCAAGCTGGAATGCAGTGGTGCCATGACAGCTCACTGCAGCCTCAAACTCCTGGGCTCTATTGATCCTCCCACCTCAGCCTCTCAAGTAGCTGGGACTACAGGCATGCACCACTATGCTAGGCTAAGTTTTTGTGTTTTTGTAGAGATGGAGTTTTGCTATGTTGCCTAGGCTGGTCTTGAATACCTGGGCTCAAATCAATCTGCCTGCCTCGGCCTCCTAAAATGCTGGGATTATAGGTGTGAGCTACGGTGCTAGGCCTCTAATCCAGTCTTGCTGTCTGCTTCTCAGAGGACCCAAACCAACGCATTTTACCACTCACTTTTGGAACACTTGTACGGAAAGAAAAAAAAACATTTATTCTATCCTATGTTCTCCAAGGGCTCAGGCTCTGCAAATTAGACTGACAAAAGACAGAATAACAAGAGAAAAATAACAAAGTTCATTAATGCATGTAGTGTGAATCCATATAGAAGAAACAGTGCTGAGTCACTGAAAGATTGCAGAGGCTAAAACAACTCCATCTTGGATGCTAATCTGCCACGTTCCCTTCTGATTAATCCCAGTTCCTTGAAGGCCTCTAAGATTTCTAGTTTATCTATTGTTCCTTGTGTTACTTTGCCCTTAGGTCAGACAACCTTAATGTTATCACACTTCAATTGTCCCATACAACCCTTCAGAGTCACCCCTTTCCTAGTTATATAAGCCCCAGGTTTGGGGGGTGATGGCACAGGGATCCATCTTG